GTCGGTCCCATAGTGTCCCACGGTGTCCCATGCTGTCCCATGGTGTCCCACGGTGTCCTATGCTGTCCCATGGTGTCCCACGGTGTCCTATGCTGTCCCATGGTGTCTCACCTTGTCCTGTGCTGTCTCATGCTATCCCACGGTGTCCTATGGTGTCCCACAGTGTCCTGCACCGTCCCTTCTCTTTGCAGGTTGCCCGGAGCCGGTCAGGGAAGACGTTTTCCGCGGCCCCTGGGGAGTCCCTGGAGGAGCAGCTGAAGCCCATGATAGACTGGGCACTCACCGGCTTCAAACCCCTGGGCCTCAAGGGACTGCGCCCCCCCAAAGCCTCAGGTAAGGTGGTGGCGTGAGCTGGGCATGGAGATGGTGTCGGCATCACTGAGCCTGCTGGACTGGTCCTGAGGTGGCCCTGGAGCTCCTCAGCGGGGTCCCCCCCAGCAGCATTGCCAAAAGCCAGAGCAAAGCACCCGAACCATTGCTCCTGGAAGTCAGAGGCCTGGATGAGCCTTGAGCCATGCTGGCGGAGCTGGGGTGGCATCCCCCGGTGCCCTGGGGTGCTCCCAGGGCTTGGAGGCTCGTCCCCAAGGAGCTGCCTTTCCTTTGCAGAGAACGGGGTCCTGAGGAACGGGACGGAGGAGGTGCTGTCCCTCGAGCAGTGCCCCCCCACCAAGAGGCTGAAGACCAACCTCTGCAACAACGGCAAGGAGCAGCGAGTGGAGGAGGACCAGACCCGAGGTGAGCGGCAGCGAGAGCCGGGGAGCACCACGCATCCTGTGGCACTGGGAACCCTCTCCGGGAAAGGGCTCGGCTCTTCCTGGGGGATGTGAGCTTGGTTTCCAAAGGCAAAAAGCTTTTATGTGCCTTACAAGACACCAGCAAACCCAGCTGCAAGACAGGGCACCACAGGCTGGGCTCCACTGATTGCTCAGCTTGGAAATGATCTGTGTGTCGCTGCTTTGAACTCTAGTTCCTGTATGTCCGGGAGTGAAGGACATGGGATTTGCACAATATTGCTGACATGCTTTCTCCGTGCAATGCTGAACAAAGCAGCAGCAGTTTTAATGAAGAAATGAGTCATCTGTGTGTAGCATGTTTAATTTGCTACATAAGGACTGAAATACATGTTTTCTTTTTTATTCATAAAGAGCAAATGGTTTCAGAAGTTACGAACAACAGCGGGAGCCTCGAAGGTAACGGGGATTGTCCTCCCTCGGGAAAGGTGGGGGGTGATGCAGGTGATGGGCAAAGATCCCGGATCCCTCTTTACCATGCCGGGTAGGAAGGGGAGAGGTGCCGTGGCTGCAGGGTGCTGGGCTGCCCGGTCCAGATCCTCCTATGGGGCCTGTTCCTGGGGGAGCCTCAGCCACCTGCATACCTGCACGTGTCTGCACCCCGGCACAGGGCAGTGGGGTCTGCACCCTGGCACGGGCTCCCCACTCTGCCCTGGGCTCAGCAGAGCTCTGTCTGTCCCACAGAGAGCTGTTTGTCCTGCGGGAGGAGGAACCCGGCCACCTTCCACCCGCTGTTCGAAGGGGGGCTCTGCCAGACCTGCAGGGTAAGTACCAGCAGGATGGGTGCAGGGTCCAGCTCTGCTGCACGGGGCAGGAGGGGGGTGGCTCTGCCAGGTCCTGGCTGTGCTGTATCTACCACGGGGATGTCCCTTGACACATTCTCTCCACTTGAAGCACTGATTATGGGCATCCTCAAGCTCTCGGTGTGCATCAGAGATGGAGCAACTCCACGTTCTCTCTTCATGCTCTGATCACAGATCCTGATTCCTCTGTCCTCTCCTCCTGGTTCTCCTTTCGCTAGGATAGATTCCTGGAGCTCTTCTACATGTACGATGAGGATGGCTACCAGTCCTACTGCACCGTCTGCTGCGAGGGCAAGGAGCTGCTGCTCTGCAGCAATGCCAGCTGCTGCAGGTGGGTCCCGGCTGC